TGTTTCTCTTTATCTCGCCATTCTCACTCAATTCTTAGCATGGTCTTTCTTCTCTCTCTACCCCAATTTCGCATCTTTTAGTTGTCCTTCTTTCTGTCATATGCTGTGTCATATATATGCGCGCATATATGTATTGTATATACATGGAGAGATAGGTAAATATGTAATATATACATATTTATGTATATATGTGTAAGCATATATAAACATAATAAATGTATAATAGATACGGTTTGTATATATTATGCATGGTATATGTATTCATATATATATGTATTATATATAATATATGCATATATGTGTGTAGGTATGTAATATATGTACATACAGATATAAGTGTGTGTCTGTGTGCGCGCGTGTGTTTTGTTGTGTGTTGTGGGTACTATTACACACGCCACGATATTGCCGGTGTTTGGGTGACTCGGGGGCCAACATACAAGCGAGATATAATAATAGTAAACTAATAATAAAATGGTGGTAATAATAATGATAATAATGATAAGGATATAATAATATATGATAATGATGAATAATAATAATAATAATTATGATGATTATACTAATAATAATAATAATAATGTTATACTACTAATAATAAGGGTACATGATTAATAAAAAATAATCAAATTACTAATAATAAAACAATAACAGTAACAAAATAGACTACAGTAGCCGCTACATAGCAGTCCACAGAGTCTTCTGAAAGGCTGATATTCATGGGGGTTGTGCTCTCAGTCTACCAACTTCATACTGTTGCTCTCAGTCTCAGTGTTTCCCTTATTTATATTTTTGAGGTAACTGTAATTCTGTAAGTATAGATTAATTGCAATTGAAAATGGCCAAGGACATCACAGTACAATATACATCACCAAAATATAATATATTATATATATATATTTATATTTATTTGTGTCTGCATTATGTGTATGTGGAATGTATGTATCTATTTCAAACAAACACACTGTATGTGTATACACATACACACAAAATATCTATATATATATTATCTATATATATTTGTGGCTTGGGCAGGTGTGGTTAGATATTATTATATATAATACCCACCACTTATGGGTGTTGCCTGTGCGCTATTTGTGCTGTGTGTTGTTATTGCACTGTATGTTGTATAAGTGTGTAGATAAAAAATCAAGATTACACAAACGCATCATGTACATGTATTCGATAATAACGGACCATTTAGTGGCACCAAAGAAGTGACTCCATTTCCACAACTTCATTCATTACTAGTTCTGGGGTATAACTATGAGACGAGAAGAGAAACTCGAAAGCATCACTTTAGCGCGTAATCACATCAACACTTTGCTTTGTAAGTAAACTTACGGGTAATCCAGTACCACATACCCACCGATCAGCCAGTTCCATACATGCTATTCGTCCTTATCATCATATGAATTTTATCAACGATGATAGTAGTGTTCAGCAGATTAGCTAATCATACATACTGCTAGTGTTGAAGCAAGGAAGCGAAATAAACAAGAACAGGTCAGATAATCAGCAATTATATTGATTATACCACCTTCTTTCTCCAATATAAAGTTATGCAGATTATAACATAAATATCACACATGTCATCCCTTTCCGGACGTCCATATTGACATGCAAAACAAGTCCCAACCCGAGAGAGTTGCCAAAACGTCGTCTGCACCCGTAGAATGTTTTCACTTGCAAATTAATATACACCATATATGTGTTTGTGTGTATGAATAATAGGTATCTGTATATATAAACACATAAATGCACCGTACACGCACATATCATATGCATATATTAGATCTGATAGAGAATAGAGATGTGGAGTTGTGTGATATATATGTATATATAAGAGGGGAGGGATTAAAAGGTGGGGGTAATTATGGGAGTTAAAGAAAAAGGCTATAATAGTTTCGTGTATTATATGAAGTTTATATCTATTCATACACATATATTTTGTGTGTATACGTACATACATATGTGAATATCAATTTAAATATGTACACATACACACACCGCATATATATATAACGGCATATATATATAACAATTATAATATATATCTTTATTTTGAATAATAATCTAAATACATACATTTATTTACATACTATATACATATATATATTTATTTACATGAAATGTATATATACAAATTATATAAATGTACATATATATTGCATATATATGTATTTGTATATATATATACTTATATATATATATGTAGATATATATATATGAGTATTATATGCTGATCCATATACATTGTTAAATAACGATAAATAGACTATGTATATACATATATATACAACACATATTTACTTATATACAGAGGTGCATACAATATGTTATACATATATTATTTATTGTACATATTAAGTGTATAATATATATAGACATTTACATACATATATATACATTATATAAACATATATAACTGAACATATCTAATGTATGAATAAATTAATTAATAACATATATATGTGTATATACATATATAATATACATGAATATATATCTATATCGATAATATATACACATGTCAATACATATACATATTTACATACAGGCATACACACATGTTGTGCTAATATATATTATATATATACATGCACTGATATATACATTCATAAATAGATGAATTATATACATATATATAATATATGTAGAAAAGGTATGACTGGAATGAATATCTTGACATATAATAGATGTATTTGACCAGTTTCGATTATATCTTTGTCAGAAATACTACATCAAAGGAATTAGGATAAGGATAAGTCCGATATGCGAAGCTGAGCCTCGCCCGGGTTTATGGGGGAGCCCGGCCCTGTTGCCGACTAATGTCGACTCGCTACAGTGTGGTCAGCTGGTGCTGACTCGGCCTTTAGTCCTTACCCACCGTGGGCCAGCCATAAGCATAAACCTCCAGGCGACACATTCACCTTCTTGCTCGCGCCGGGCCGGGGCGCTGAACCGCCGACCCCTCGGATGAGAGGCCGACACTTCCATTGTACTACCCGGAGGCTTGCAAAGGAATTCCAGAGTCTGTTGGTGGGGGGGGGGGGGGGGGTAGGGGGTATATCATACATGAGCTGAGAACACCTGACGACTGTGGACCCCCTCCTCCACTCGTTGTCCGTATAATGCTGCCGCGACCGTTGGATAGTTTGGAATCTGTCCGATGCTGCATTGAATATTATCTATTGATTGTATACAAGCTTCCATAATTTTTCTTTTTCCGCCTGTTCAGTCTGCCATGGAACTATTTTCGCTTCCTTCCCGGTGGGTAATTGTCCAGCCTTCATCTAGATGTAGGCACCAGGCGTTGGAAGGTCCTATGGTGGACTCGATGTCACTCGATTATATCGCTGATCTTGGGGCTGAAACCACAGCTGTTTCTCAAATTATGCTTTCTCGCATTTCCTGCACAGGGATGCGTATAACAACATGTTAGGGTTGCTTTAGGGCGGCTTTTGTCTCGTATTATGTTCATTGTATATTTTACCCAGATGTCCGATGGCGAATTATCACTGTTGCCCGAAGTACCTGCTGATCGCCTGGAAAATGTTACATGGCGGCTAATGGTAATGTGAGAAAATGATAAGAGGGTACAGGGTCTGATCTTGTATGTTCTCCGCCTTCTTTCGGAGTTAGTAAGGAAGCTCTGGGATATTTTATGTTTCAGGAAGAATTAATCATATAGGCAACCACATCCTCAAGCCTCAGTGCTCCGAGGAAGAAGACTATACAACAACCGATTTGGTTTTGTTTGTTTTTCAGTAGCGGAGTAGTAATGTTATATAAGCATCTTCATTTGTAGGTTCCGGTATACAGAGAAAAAGTTATAGTCCGTGTCACCCCCGATGACTCAAGTGTCTAAGAAAGATAATTTCTGATCCTCTTCCTCCCCACCGTAAACGGATTTCTCGTGGATGGAGTAAGTCACGTCAGTGTATTATATGTAAGCACGAACCTTCTGGGGCACAAGACCGTCGTATGGAAGCCAAGTTGAATGTCTGCCATTTATCCTTGTAATTTCCCTCTCCAGCGTCTCCATGAATAGGCAGGCCATTGGCTGCACTCATAAGTCCACGCATAACTTCACCAGGCGAACGAAGTGATGTCTCGGCACCGAAGTTCAGAATTGTCATGGAGCTGGTGCCCTCTTCGACTGTCGGACCTTTCAGCTGCAAGCCAGATAGAAGAGTAAATCCCTCGCCTTCTTGAATATAGCAGAAGCTTCATCTTCCCCTCACCTTTCGTTACTTCCGTATAAACAGAAGCATCGGGAAGTAAATTGTTCATTAAGTATTTACTAACTTTGGTCATTGACAACAATACCCCCCCCACCTTATCAGCCCCCCCCCTTTTTGGGGTGATGACGATGATCATGTCGCGGATGCGTCCTTCAGT